GCTTCGTATCTTTTGAATTACTTCAAGGTTATTTTCTTCATTTAGTATTAAAGATAGTCAACCATAATATGGTAGCATATTATGCTCTAGAAGATATATTTCTAAAGCAATTCTATTGTCGACCCACACGTTATTGTTTGGTTCTTTAAAGCTGTTGAACTATTTTGTACATGATTTGAATGTCGTTGTGTAAATATACTTTATCAATACGTTTTAGTTTCACATCTCTGAAAATAGTGCAGATGGCGTCAATATTTTTCTAAAAATTTCAATAACCACAACTAGTTTCTTAACATGTACTGCCAGAGGGCTTTCCAAATCTTTTCCAACAGCTCATGAAACAGTTTAGTATTCTTTAAATAAATTCAAGGATATTTCCTTCATTTAGGTATACATTTACGTAGGCCTACGCTTTGTACCAGGGGACGATGCACTACAAATACTTTCGCAACATACTTTAGGGCCTGAATTTTGTGTAGGTGAATAAGTTGTTTGGAAGCGAAGTAATGCAGTTTGCAAGTTGGTGAATTTATATACGTTTCTCGTAGAATGGCCTTTCATAAAATTACTAAATTTTAAGGTTTAGAGTTGAAATATTGAACCCAAACTTCAAAAATTGTAAGATTAAATTTAATACTTTATATTTATGATATAATCACATTTTGCTCAAATTTCTTGTTATACTGTCTATTTTGGCCCCTTTTTTTTCGAAACCTGGTGATGCGAGTTTACAGCCCTGTTGTGGTCTTGGGTCACAATTATCATATCAAATCTATAGCCCCACCACGGTTGGTAAACAACTTGTTTGGCACCTATGAATGTCCGGAAATAGATACTGGCAACATAGAGCCGCTTTCCCTTCCCCTCAAGGGGCAGCCACAATATATAGGCCTAATGTTAGCATGGATGAAAGTGTATGTTAGAAATATGGCACCTCTGGATGCTATGAAATATCAGCTGGTAAAGCTGTAGAAAATAATATTGTTAAAAATTTAATTTTTTATCATTGCCATAAGTAGATAAATTGAGTTGCTTATTCCTCCAGAAGAGCAAGAAACATGAATACTTATATAATGCATAAACCAAAAATGATTATAACATACTGTAATTGTATTTACACGATATGGAGGGTATTCAGCTATGAAAAATATATAAAATATGCAATAAGTAAAACACAGGATACTATTTGCCACACAAATGGACCTGCAGCCTACATGTTATGTTACATAGGCCTACTACTTGTGCAATTTTAATTAAATTTTCTTGCAAAGTTCAGCCTGTAACATTAATACGTTATTGATCACGCTTTAGAAGTTATATACTATCACTAGAATTGTAAAAAAAAATAATAAGTTGAGTGCTGTGTTTACTTCTGGCAGGCCTTATACCGATTACACATTAATTTTAGTCAACCTTCGGTATATTCATGCAGACAGACCATGCACGTATACTTCCATGGAGATCAGTGGCGGCACCAGCGGGGGACAGGGGGCTTAAGACCCCCACCGGACAGGTTAAGCCCCCCGCCGGACAGAGCTCGTTGGGCAGTCAGATCATAAAAAATATACAAATAGGCCCACATCAAGCCAACACAGGTCTGTCACAGTCTGAGAGTGCCATTTCCGGCCATCCAGAGGTTCCTTCTTAAAAGAAAATCTCATTTGGAAGGGGAACCCCCTCTCAGCCTCTTCCCCCAGCTCGAGCCTACAACTCAAGTCCCCCTGTCGGACAACTTAGCCCCCCTACCCCAGAAAATATATCCTAGAGCCGCCACTGCTAGAAACCCCTGAATAAAAAGTTGGTTGTTCTCGTAGTAATGTATATATCAATAACAATGTTTGGATTTAATCTATTTGTCCTTGCTTTTCATCGCACTGTAATGGTTAATTTTGTTGAGCACCACACCCCTTTACAAACCTGGACATCCCCACCATCTTTCGTCCGACGCCACGATGAGGTCGTGAGACTAAACTAATCTTTAAATCCAATAAAGTTCCAGTTGCCATTCGCTAATATTGTGGTCTAAAAGTATAAATTGTGGATACCCAAAAATCTCATCTGGCAATCCCCCCGCCCCCTCAAGTTGGTGTATAAATTCATACCTGTAAATTTTGGAAATGTGCTTCAAAGCAACTACCTCCATTCCAACCCCATGCAGGAACAGATACAAGATTAAAAGTTAGTGGAAGTGGGCTAGATACTGTACTCTCTATCTCAGGTCCATCGTACCATGATTGAAAAAATGAATGTGATGCGTACATTCATATACTGTAATTCATAATTATCATTACATATTTATTTCAGAATGTAATGGAATTGAGAAAAAGTGGTCCGGCCATAGACGGTGCGACGGGTGCGCTTCTGACGGCCCTGTTTTGTGGAGACCATCGTGTAAAACTAATCTTACGATTTGTGAAACTATAAACTGTGCATATAGCTTTAATACCGTTCATGTAGTCTTAGCAGTGTGCCCTTAGATCTCTTGCTGAAAAAGGACCTTAAAACGTCTGCTAACCGTTGAAAACTATTTTCGTCAATCTGTCATTTACTGAATGTGATAGCTTATTTAGTTTTCAATCTACATGTTTATTTGAATATTAGAAAATTGTTTGTGCTGTGTATGTGCGGGTGTTTAAGATATGATGTGTGTGTGTGTTTATTAACACGTTTGGTCTAAATTTAGATGAGATTGTATGCCTTTATAAAAGATTAATACTACTCATCAATTCTAGGACTATGAAAAGTATCTTGCATGTGTCTTAGAGGTATTAGGATTAACAAAATTAAAAAAAAAAATACATAGGTTTCGATACATTACGTTTGGCATGAATAATTCAAATGAAGCGACATCTTCTGGTAAAGTGATTGACTTTTCCGGAGCGTTGAGTAGCACGACGGAGCGAACCCCGCGGGACGGGCCGTGGTATATCAAATTGTCTGTGTCTTCTGGATCCATTTCATTCACTGCCCAAATAACTCTTGCCGTGTCACTCTGTGTAGACATTATAAAGAATACACATATATTATTTTATTTTAAAACATTTACAATTTTATAATAATATATAGAGAAGTAAAAATGTAAACTATATAATTGTAGGCATTGAATCACGGAAAGGTAATCGACTGTTGATCCAAACAAGTTTCATACTGATAGTGCGTATCCAACTTAGGCCTACTGTATATAACTTACAATTTAATTGTAAAAGTTTCATTTTGATATCTCTAATGTTTTAGAAGAGCAACGTATAAACCTTTATTATATGTTGTACTGCTTACACAAAAGATGAGGAAAAGAACATAAAGTCAATGCAAAATTACTAGAACTAGAGTGAATGTTTCAAGAACCCCCCTTTGTGAAGAAACGTAACAAAGGGTCCTGGCTTACAAAAAGCATGCTAACCTACCTAGGCATGGTTGAAAGATCAAACTAGGCTTATCCCAACTAGTTTTCAATTAAATAAATTATACATACTGTTGGCCGTCGTAATAATTTATGTACGAAAGTGAGTTATTTAGGCCTATCAGTTTATCGATCCATGGAAGAAAGACTACATATCTAACTACTAATGTTGTTGGAATATAACAATATATTGCCTGTCTTTGATTTTTTTTCCTCTATGATAGGCCTAAAGAATGAGATAAAATTACCTGACCTTTTTTCAAGAGGAGGAAAACCTTGAATTTTTTAAGAAATTAAAGGTCATTAAAAGCTGAGTCCTCAAAAGTCAGGAAAGCTCATTTTCGGCCATCTAGGAATCAAAATTTTCCCGGGGGAGGACCCCCACCCCCTTTTTATTTTGGGGTTTTTTGGAAACTTTTTGAACCCCCCTCTTTAAAATCCTGGATCCGCCACTGGGGTCTATTAACCAAATTATTTTAGAATAATGCTTTACATTGAAAAAACTATTCTCGAACAACCTAATATAGTGTTTAACTCTATTAAATTTCCCATGTGTTAACTTACATTAATAACATAGTCATCGTCATCACATGTATTCAGTGTACGTTTAAATCCGATTGTTGTTCTACCTCCTTCTTCAAATCCATACTGGATATCGTAGTCACTGGATACATCCACCTCTGGCATGGAATTAGTTTTAGCATGGCGGTCCTAGATTATTGTAAATTGAAGATTACAATCATACAAATAATAATAGCAATATCAACAACGGCAACAGTTAAAAACTGTAAAAAAAAAAAAGCAAGAAAAAATATATATATGGCATTTTTTACATCAGTCTATTTACTCCTGTTAGGGTCTGTAGAGCCCACAAATGTAAAAATCTACCACAAATGTAAAAATAACCACAAATGTCAAAACATTCGCCCGCAGATGTCAAAATAACCGCAAATGTCATATTGTCAACCACAAATGTAAAAATAACCACAATTGTAAAAAAATCGCCCACAAATGTCAAAATCTGTTTAACCCCAAATGTAGTAAAATTTCACCTACAAATGTAAACATTTCCAATTTTACCTCAAATGTCATAACATGTCAACTGCAAATGTAAAAATATTCGTAAGCACTTAAATCCTTAAAATATTGAAAGACCCTAATTAACTGCTATAGTAGAGCAGCTAAAGTATCAAGTTGCGCATTTTAGTAGCTAAGTCACAAGCTGTGCACTTAATTACCAAAGCATGAAACTTGGCACAAAATACCTTTGATATGTGTAGATTAAAACAAAAGTTGTTTGCCAAGAGTTTGGTAACGGATAAACTTAGAAACTCAATTTTGGTGTCAAATTGTTTGAAACATACATATTTCTATTTGCATTAATACAATGTTTTGTCCAAAAATGACCGGAAATGACATTTATAAAGTTTGACCTACAAAACTTACAGTATATCCCTATCTCTATAACCGTTAATCATTGAGACTTAATTTTGGCCTCACATTGTTCAGAACATGCATGTTTATATTTGCACTAATGTACTTTTGACAAAAAGTGACAGGAAATGATGCTTCTGATCTTTAACCCTAGGTACGCTGTAGCATATCCTATCTCAATATTCTCAAATTGTTTCAGAATATGCATGTTGATATTTGTACAAATGCAACGTTTTGTCTAAAAGTGACACGAAATAACATTTCTGACCTTTTGACTCTAGGTACATTGTAGCATATCTTCATAACCGTTATTCAGTTTTGTGGGAAATACTGTATATGTATAATATATTTGATTTTTGTCCGAAAGTGATCGGAAATGACATTTCTGAACTTTGACCCTAGATAACCAGCATAATTATACATATCTGTATATCAGATATATATGCTCTAATCTATAGGCACTAATTAAGAATTTTGTGCTATGGTCAATCTGACTTAATTACCTTAAAATATCTATCAAATTCTTTGTAAATTTACTTACAGTTTACTTCCTCTAAAATGGTAGGGACTTAATTATGGTCTTAAATGCCTGAAAATGCTTCTATTTACTTTAACTAAAATTTTGTTGGAGAATACTGAAAATGCTTATTTTGATCTTTGACCTTAGTAATCTAACATTCCATATTTATTTTATTAAATCATTTATATATTTTTTTCACCCAACAGCATGAACTTCAATAACAGTGAGCATAAATACAATATAATATAAAAACATGAGAAACATTATAAAATATCTGACCTTTATTATTATTTTTGTTTTATTAACACAAGAAAAAATGTTTCTTCTATAAGGCCCCATAAAATTATTAGTTTATCACCCCATCCTTCATAACTTTTGGGGAAATTTGTTGAACAGCTTATGATTTCTTTCAAATATTTTTACTGGTACAACAAAAACATATTTTTTAATACAAATTTGATTCCATGCTTATGACTTTTTATATATTTGTCCTTAACCATTGATTTACTTGCGAACATCGGTAAAATGGGGGACGGGGTTAGCAAAAAAAAAAACCTCCCTCCCTCATCATTTTTTATTCTTTGATAGGGTGGTAAACTAATATTTTTTATGCGGCCTAATCTATATGATAAGCCTGCAGCTGTAATACCTTGTATTGATTGGTAAGGTGGAGACGCCACCTTAAGTGTGCGACTAATAACATGTAATTAATATTTTTTTTGCTTTTTCATTATTATATTATGACTGCATAATAAACAAAAATATCCAATTACATTTATTCTTATACTCTTTTGAGAAACATTTGTTTGAATAAAACAGTTTATTTCAAGTTATTTATTCAGGACATATGTTAGTTGTCATACTTCATTTTAGACATGTCGTTTGCCATAACCACATCCCAGAAACCCTGGGATACTGGGATGGTTTCCAGTTGAAAATGGAATGCCTTTAACCATGGATGTTTGACAGATGTTTTTATGGCTCTTGAGCCACAAAATCTGGAATGCAAATGTTTATCTTTTTTTTCCCTTTTTTTTTATTTGTGGTGGCATTTCTACAATACAAAGTATTCACACTGAGGTTTCAAGTTATATCAGACAATTGTGACGAAAAGACCACAAAAGGGCTGTAAACTCGTACTCTATCAAAATGTTTTTTAATGTAAATGAATAGTGCATATCATTAACTTTATAATGATGGCTCATTGATCTCAATCAGACAATTATAAGTAAAGTTAAGCTAGTTGGAATTATAAATATTCTCTGGGGACTGGCCTATATAGTTCTGAGAAAAAAGGTTTTAAAATTACTGAAAAAAATTAAAGAAAAATCACAGCAGGAATCAAAGAAACTCCATAGCAACAATACAGTTC